TGATAAGTCACCATTTTGTTGTGAATATGAAAACCCATCTCAAACAATGACGAAAGTTAAATACAGCAAGCAGAGGCCTGAGAGCAAATGTATAAATGCAGCATAATATGAGCAGAAAAGGCTGTGTCTTTGTTATGTCAAATTTATACAGCCCACTACATTTCCCCAAGTTCTTAAACACATGAACAGCAGAAACCGTTAATCTGACAGACCACTTGCAGAAAAGCAGCCTGTGCTGTGAAGCCAGCCCCCTTTCCAGTCTCTATTTGTAGCAACTGGGTCACAGGAAAGGTTCACAGTAAAATCAGGAGCAATTTCTTGGCAGGAAACAATCTCCTAAGAACTTCATTCAAAGTCCTAAATTTCACATTGAAATGTTTTAATGACCATTACAGCAGGAGGTGAAATGTCTGTTGATTTTAGTGAGCCAATGCTCAGGAATTTGGCTGTGCCCTGCACTCAGGTTACATGGGCAGCGCCAGCGTTATTCCAGACATCTGCCATTCCACTACCAAGCTGTACAGTATCTGTGTGTGTGTGTGTGTGTGCGTGTGTGCACGCATGCACACATGCCCATGTCACTGTGCGACCTAGTGGTGGCTTCACAATAAGCACAGCCTTTTCTGTTCATGTTATGCTTGCATTTACACAATTGCTCCAAGGCCTCTGCTTGTCTTATTTAGCATTCCTCTTTGTTTGATATGGGTCTTTTATTTGCTTTATCTATGCAAAAAAATGGTGCTTTATCATTTTAACTCTGGTTCCAATCTCATCAACTCCTGAAAAACCTAATAAGTATGCATAAACCTTGCCCTTAACCAATGTTAGCACTACAACATCCATAATGCATTGAACACTACTGTAACCACATGATTCTGGATGTTTACAGTAAAATGGGTCCTGGCATCAAAGATGCTTTGAAAACCCCAGACATGGATAAACCTGTTGGACCCTTTAGAAGCCATCATAAATTATCTCATAGATAAACAGCTCCATGTCCAGATTGGCCCACCCTTGAAGCATAATAAGTGGGTTTTCAACATCCTTCTGGCTGTACCTGAAGAAGAATCACCCCAATGCTTGTGACTGAGCATTCGCAGCAATAATTGTGTGATATAATGGATGAAGTCATCAGCGGAAGTCAGCATGTCCTTAATCTTCTGAAAGGCCAGCAGTTACTGTGCATCCCAATACAATGCTTGAGACTTCTTTAGGAGATTTCTCAAGGGCTCTGACACAGAGGCAAGGTGTGGTAACAACTTAGTCAATTGATTCACCAGACCCAGAAACCATTACAGATTGTGCACCAACTTTGGAGTCAAGAAGTCTTTGACCACCTTGATTTTCTGGGGATCAGCTAGTACCCTAGCCTTGCTGAAATTAGTGGAATCCCTAGAACATCCACATTTATCATTTAGCATAAGGGCCTACACTTTTTATAGAGCTAGGTAGTTTTAGCATGTGTCAGGATATGATCCATGTGGCATATCACACCATTCTGTGAAATGTTGGATATAGTGTATTGGAAAATCTCTGGGGCAGAAGCGATACCAAATGTTATCTATTTAAATGATATCAACTGACTGGGTAATTAAGATAGTGAGGGCTTGGGATATCTCATCCAGAGAGACATACCAAAATCAATATTAGCATAAAACTTTGTAAATATTTGACTGAACCATGACCTTCGATTTTTTTTTTTACACTTTTTGATAGCTGGTGAGGGATTTTCCTAGGTGTAAAGAGACATACAGGTTTTGTGTCAGCTTTCGACATAATCTTATAAGGAGCTTCTAGCTTTCTCAGTCCAGTAAACAATTTGGGATATTGCAGTTGAAAGGAACTTTTCATAGTGGTGTGTGTGAGTTCCCATACTCTGTGCAGGAGATTGAGGGAAATGCATATCTTTTTACTCAATGGAGACAATTGTTGTTAACTGATAATGTGTGCTTTCTCCTCATATGTGTGGTCTTTGAGTTTCAGTATGACATCCAATATCTCTAACCAGAGGAATTGTACCTCTGGCTGCACATAGCTTTAAATCAGGCGGTATAATGTTCATCTCCACCATTAGGTATCAACCAAGATGAACATAACATTGGCAGCAATAAACAGCTAAGATGTGGTGGAATAATCTTTCACATGAATGACTTCTGTCAAATCTACAATAGGTGACTGTTTAATTTCTCCTGTGGATGAGTAACGTAGGTTTTTCCTAGATAACTGCATTTTGGTAAAACAAATAAGGGCAGTACTTATACAATTAAAGGTAGGGCCTTGGGTAGTGTTGTAGAACAGAAAGATTTAGGGGTTCAGTACATAATTCTTTGAGTTTGCATCACGTGTAAAAAGGGTGGTTAAGAAGGCATTTAGCATGCTTACCTTCATTGCTCAGACCATTGAGTAAAGGATTTGGGATGTAATGTTGAGGTTGTACAGGATGTTAGTGAGGCCCCTTCTGGAGTACTGTGTCCAGTTCTGGCCACCCGGTTATAGGAACAAAATTTTTAATCTGGAGAGGGTTCAGAAAAGGTTTATCAGGATGTTGCCTGGAATGGAGGTTTTGAGTAATAAGAAAAGGCTGAACAGGCTGGAGTGTAGGAGGTTGAGCAGTGACCTTACAGAGGTTTATAAAATCATGAGGACTATAGATGAGGTGAATGGCAAAGGTCTTTTCCCTAGGTTAGGGGATTTCAAGACTAGGAGGCAGATTTTTAAGGTGAGAGGAGAAAGATTTAAAAAAGACATGAGGGGCAATGTTTTTACTCAGAGAGTAGTTCGCGTGTTGAATGAACTTCCAGAAGAAGTGATGAATGCGGGTACAACTACAACATTTAAAAGACATTTGGATAAGTACATAAATAAGAAATGTTTGGAAGGATATGGGCCAAGTGCAGGCAAGTGGGAACTAATATAGTCTGGGATTATAGTTGGCCTGGATTGGTTGGACCAAAGAGTTTGTTTCTGTGCCATATGACTCTGTGACTTCAAGCCGATTAGATGTAGAAGCAGAAGTAGGCCATTGAGTCTGCTCTGCTATTCAATGAGATCATGCTGATGATAATCCTTAAATCACTTTCCTGCCTTATCCCAATAACTCCTGATTCCCTTAATGACTAACAATCTGTCTATCTCAGCCTTAAATGAGAGCCTCTTGTGGTACAGTGGTAGTGTTCTTATTTCTGGACCAAGAGGCCCAGATTCAACTTCCACCTGCCGTAGAAGTGTGTTAATAACATCTCTGAACAGGTTAATTCAAAAAAAGTATACTTAACAATCCAGCCTCAACAATCCTCTGTAATAAAGAATTCCACAGATTCACAACAATCTGAGGAAAAAAAAATTTCATTTCCATCTCAAAAGGGTAACTCCTTATTCTGAGATTTTAGCCTCTGATCCTAGACTGCCTTACAATTGGAAACAACATCTCTATATCTATTGTGTCAAGCCTTCTAAGAATCTAATGTATTTCAACAATATCTACTAATATTCTTCTAAACTCCAATGAATACAAGCCCAAACTATTCAAATTGTCCTCATAACAGAATCCTCCATACTTGGGATAAACCCAGTGAACGTTCTCTGGACTGCCAGTACATCTTTGCTCAGATAAGGGGACCAAAACCGTTCAAAGTATTCCAGCTGTGGTCTGACTAGAGCCTTGTACAGTTTGAGCAAAACCCCCTCCATTTTATACTCCATTTCTATGGAAATAAAAGCCACCATCCATTTGTCTTCCCTATTACCCAGTGATCTTGAATTATAACTTTTTGTGATTCCTGCACTGGCATGCACAAATGCTTCTCTGGTATAGCTTTCTGCAGTCTTTCCACATTTAAACAATATTCAGTTCTTCTATCCTTCCTGCCAAAGCACATAACCTCGCATTTTCTCACATTACATTCCATCTGCCAAATTTTTCCCCACTCACTTAACCTATCCATGTCCCTCTCTTGACTCATGTCATCCCCATTACTTTCTTTCCCATCTATTTTTGTTTCACTCACAAACGTGGCGATAGTACATTCACTTCCATCATTCAAATCATTAAATGACATTGTAAATAACTTGCCCCAGCACTGATCCCTGTGGCACTCCACTAGTTACAGGTTGTGATCTTAAAACATTATCCCAACTCTCTGTCTTCAATTAGTTAGTGAATCCTCTATCCACACTAATATACCAGGCACAAAACTATGGACTCTTATCTTATTAAGTGGCCTTATATGCAGTACCCTATCAAATACCTTTTGGAAATCCAAATATATTACATCTAATGGTTCCCTTTATATAACCTGCTTGTGACCTCAAAGAACTCTAATAAATCAGGCATGATTTCCCCTTCACAGAGCCATGATAACTCTGCTTGTTCATATTATGTGTTTCTAAATGCTCTTCTACTACATCCTTTATAATGACTGTAACATTTTCCCAAAGACTAAACTAACTGGGCCTAAAGTTTCTGTGTTTTGTCTCTATCCCTTTTTGAAAAAGGGTGTTATGTTGGCAGTTTTCCAACCCTCCTGGACTTTACCAGAAACTAAAAACTCTTGGAATAATATTACCACTGCATCCTACTGTATGCAATCCATTAGGTCCAGGGGACTTATCAGCCTTAGCCCCATTAGTTTCCCTACGTTTTTTTTTCCGTGGTGGTTATTGTATTTATTTCCTCCTCCACCCCCATTTTGACCTTGATTATTTAGAATTTCTGGAATGCTGTTAATGTCATCTACCTTGAAGACTGATGCAAAGTATTTGTTCAAGTCTTCTACCATTTCCTGGCTCCTCATTATTATTTCCCCAGCTTCGTTTTCTAAAGGGTCTATGTTCATTGTTGCCTCTCTCTCTCTCTCCCTTTTATGTATTCAAAGAAGATCTTACTGTGTGTTTTAAGTCAGTTGCTAGTTTACCCTCATAGTTTATTTTCTCCTTCTGTGTTAATATTTTCAGTGATCTCATCTTGGCCTTTAAAATTTTCCCAAACTTCTGATAAGCAGTCCCAGAACGGAGACCGGCGCAGCGAAGCAGTCCCGGAGCGGAGAATGGCGCAGGGAAGCAGTCCCGGAGCGGAGACCGGCGCAGGGAAGCAGTCCCGGAGCGGAGACCGGCGAGGGAAGCAGTCCCGAAGTGGAGACCGGCGCAGGGAAGCAGTCCCGGAGAGGTGACCGGCGCAGGGAAGCAGTCCCGAAGTGGAGACCGGCGCAGGGAAGCAGTCCCGGAGCGGAGACTGGCGCAGATAAGCAGTCCCGGAGCGGAGAACGGCGCAGGGAAGCAGTCCCAGAGCAGAGACCAGCACGGGGGAAGCAGATCCGGAGTGGAGGCTGGCACTGTTAAGCGAGTACCAGAGCGGAGGCCAGCACAGGGGAAGCAAGTCCCGGCGTGGAGGCTGGCGCAGGGAGACAAGTTCTGGAGAAAACCTACCTTGGAGCAGCTGAGAGCCAGTGCAGGGCAGACTGGAGCCTTGGAGCGGAGCAGGGATGGTTGTTGGACTGGCGAGTGGCATGGGTGGTCAGACTGTGTGTGGACGCCCCTGTGCTGAGCTACTGCAATGTAATGTTTATTTGTAATTTGTTTATCTGACTGTAATGTCTATCCATTTAACTATGTCATATTTCTAACTTATACTATGAATCACTGCAGAGTAATGCAACTACTTTTTCTTTTTTATTCCTTTTTGTATCTAAGATTTGTACCTAAGATGGTGCTATAAGAGGCAACATTGCAAACTTTTTACTGTACTTCTGTACTTGAGTACATGCGACAATAAAGGATGATCTAATTCTAATTCTATACTATTAATATTTTCCACATTGTATTTATTTTCCTTTTAATTTGATACTGTCCTCAACTTCCCTGGTTAACCATGATCAGTTTATCTACTTCCTAGAATTCTTCTTCCTCAATGGAATATATCTTTGCTGTCAATCATGAACTATTTTGTTTTAACCATCTGCCAAAACCTTTAAGAACCTTGTTCCCTTGCTATATTGAGCTGTTCTTGAAGACTTTATTACAAGACATGAGTATATATATACATATTATATATATATTTTGTTGGAAGTTATTTGATTTCTTGCTTGGTATATTCTTCAAGTTTAGCACATCTTCTAGAAGTGAACTTACGCTATAATGAGTACATCATTGGTGGAAGACTGGATTGTTTTGTCTTCACTGCTTTGCACTTTTGGAATCACACCTGTGGCATGAAATTGCTTAGGATTTCACACTGACCTTGCCACATGTGGTATATTGGTCAGATGAGAGGTCTGTCTCCTCTGGTCAGATGGTTTAAGTAGTCAGTACGCTGTGTAGATGTTCTGCATTAAATGGAATCTTCACTGTATAATCCTTCTTGAACAATTTTATCGACTCTGAATATGACCTGGTGTCCAATCTAGAAGTTATTCAAAATCTGAGGACTTGTGTTTTCCATGACTGTCAATTTGTTGGTCTTATCTCTGAAAGCTTAAAATTTTCTGCTGAAAAGATTGGTACAGGCAAATGCTCATGCATTGTTTTACTCTTCACAGGTATTCAAGTTGTTATTTTCTTGATTTGTTAGGATATTGTTAGGATGCTGTTCTCCTTGTACTATATTCATTTTGTCGTCATATTCTTAGCTGATTTAGATTGTTGTTGAATCTGTTGTTATTAACAGTTATTGCAGTACTATGACTGAAAACTGTTAAAGTTATAGTCTTTTAAATATAAAGTTCAGGTTTCCTTTACCAATATGGTGTCTTCATCGAAATGAATGAAGATGTCCCTTTTACAAGATGTTTGAAGGATTCCCAAAGATCAATAGGTAGAAACTTTCTCAAAACGGCTTCCCAATAAAATTCAATGATTTCTTTGACTGCTCAAAGGTGACTGACAATATAGCTTTGTTTTTACTGATAAAAACTAGGCTGTGGAGTGCAGTTACGATTTCTAATAGTGAGTTAAGAAACATCTAAACTATTTACGTGATGAAAAGGTTAACAATAGCAAGTTAATTCTTCAGGTACAAGTTTAAAGAAAATCAAGTGAAAAGGAAAAACAAATGGTGAATAGAAATCATTATTGCCCATTGAAGACTAAACAGTAAAGTTAGTGAAACATTTATTATTTCAATGGTTTGATAAATACATTAAAAGTTTTATAGGTCTGGAAGCATCTGTGGAGAGAAATCAGAGTCTATTCTGAAGAAGGGTCACTAGACCCAAAACATTAACTCTGACTTCTCTCCACAGATGCTACCAGACCTGCTGAGTTTTTCCAGCAATTTCTAGTATTGTTTCTGATTTCCAGTATCCACAGTTCTTTAGTTTTTTTTAAACATTCAAAGTTTTATTTGGCAACTCCTAGTTTTATCAACTTTAGTAATTAAAATTGAAGAAAAATCAGATAAAGAGAAAGACTGTGAATCTAATCACATGGTGGTGAATCCATCATGAAAATACCTTGGACAGAAGGCCTTAAAAGGGTCAACCTCCATTGGGCCCAGGATGCCCATTAGAGGGGCTATTCCCACCCCCTTGCCTATCACTAGTCCAGCAATGAAAGTTCAGGCCTGGACCTGACCACTGGTTAAATCAATTGGCCCATGGGCTGGCAGGCCTTGCAAAGCTCCCCCGGCACTATTAAAATTGAGTTTGGGACAGGAATGGGTAGGTCGGTGGGATGCTCAGCACAAATGGCATTTTTATAGGCCTCCCTTTTGCAAACTGTTCTATGTGTCATAGTTGCTACTGCCACCCTCTTTCTGTGACTGGGGCTAAATGCCTACCAGGTTCCCAGTATTAAAGGAAAACACCAATGAATCTTAGCAAGAGACTCTTGACTTAAACCAGATGCACTTTTTAATACTAGTAGGATAGACATTGCCAGTAAGACAGTTGGAAAATTGAGAATAACCTATCTGTCTTCTTCAAGATTCTGAGCTATTCAGTCTTTCCCCATCCAAGTCCTTATGACATCATTAGATTGGGTGGAACTTAATGCAGTTTCCAACATTAACCCATTCAAAATCATACCACATATAACAACAACCAATTCTGAGGTGCAGGCAAATCCGGCCCTCAGGCTGGAATTTTCCACTTTGGAATTAAACATGGTGCTGAGTAATACTTAATAGTCAAAGATCGCCACTCCCACTATGATCCAGGGTGGGTTATCATGTATGATTGTATGCTTTTCGACTTATTACCTGAAGAAGTGATATTGTGCGGGTGACTCAGTAAATAATATGTGGCAAGTGAGTAGGATGTGGGACCTGCCAAGGTATAGATTATGGTGCAATATTCAAACAAGACTCTCTTTCCCCACCCCAGCCCAAAGAGAAAGAAAAGTTGATAATGAGGCCCATAAGTAGGTGCTGAAAATACCCCATTGTCACAACAGGAGCTGGGGTGTTGGGGTGGCTAAAGGTCTGTTTCCTCTGGTTAGGTATTCCAGAAAAAGCGACAGGAAATTGGATCCACTAGGCCATTCAGAAACAAAACACTACTTCATGGAAGATAGGGCTAGGGAAGTCAGCAAGGCACTGTAGATGTGTGAAGTATAGGACAAAAAAAAGGACAAACCTTTCAAAAGCAGCATTATACCTCTATCAAATAAAGTAACTGACCATTTACCAATTATTCATTACCTATGAAGCAATTGACGATTAATTGACAAAAGCTTTTCCTGTTACTTGTTAGTTAGTTCATTGACATAAAAAAATTAAAACAACAAAAATTAATGGTCTTGCTTCACTGGCCTTTATCATGCTTTACGTATGACTTCACTAACCTTTGTTATGCATCATTACAAGATGAGATTGTACCGTTATGAGCATAAAATACACTGGTTAAAATATATCTTATTGGCTTTATTGATAATGTAAATGAGAACTCAAATCATGTATATTTCATAATTATAATCAAGCGGCATTCGTTCGAAATGTAAAGTACAAATTAACGCAAGTTTTTAAGGCATGCTTTTAAAGTGTCTAACAGAACAAAAAAAAAGCCAGGGTGAGTATTTGATTTAAAAGAATATAATGATGACTAAGCTACACGGAAACGAAATCTAGTGCATGTCCCTCGGTGTTAAGCCCGCCCTTCTAACAGAAGGCACCTTTTCAACAGACTTGGGATTTCTTGGGAGACTAGTATTGGTTAACGTGATAGAAGAAAGACTCATTCAAATATCATCTATGCTGGAACGATTAACATTTACTCAGCAATATGTACTTCTACGTGTAAGTTAATTATAAAAATTATATCTTTATTTAGATTCTGATTCTTAACTTATAAAAAAAATCTCCCTCATAATGCTTTGTACAAGGGCCCGAATTTCGATGTTTAACGGAGTGCGCTGCGTTTTTTTTCTACCATGTTGAACCTTGAGATTTGCCGTAGGAGTGGCGCGTGGATTGGTGCGCATCATTATGTTGTAGTTTTCAGGGTGGCACAGCCCCGTTATCCAGAAGCAGCAGTACTGGATTGTTGAACTACAACTCCCAGGATGGTGCACCCGCGGTCATTGTGCGACCTTCGACCGGAGGCAGGAGGCTGAGGCCTGGAACCGGCAGCAGTGGGATCAATCAGGGCTTTAAATCTTTATTCCGGATTAGTTAATTAGTCACCATTAATATGGGTTTTGATTCGAATGTATTAGATTCCTGTTTGTGACACCGTAAGTGGTGGTTTATATATTTTTAAATTTGTATCCTGTTACTCATTGGGTGGTGTCAGCCGTGTTCAGGTGGTAGTATTCTGGCCTCTGATTCACAAGTTCAAATACCAAACCGGGCGCTTGAGCACAAAAATCAATACTGAAATACCAACGCACTGCTGAGGGAGCAGCGGGGATATTCGTGACACCCATGCCCTGAATCAACATGATTAAAAAGTGTTCGTTATCACATTAATGTTTGGGGGAATGTTGTGTTTCCTGTATTACGGGAAAGGGCTTCATTGGTTCCGTAGCGCTTTTAAGATGTTCAGTGGTAATGAAAAGTACTGTATCAATGCAAATCTTTCATTGCCGGGCCTTCACATTCAACCAGTCTTGACATGGTTACAGCAGAGGATCAGATGGTCTTTTGAAAAGCTAAATAGAAGAGCAAGGATTTTGTCACTGAAGCTTTGTTGTAGCTCTTTGAGGTCTTGCCCTGACATCGCTGAGTGGTATCCTCAAGCGATATATATAAACAATTTTTCCAAATGGAGAGAAATGCTTCTAGTCCCTTTTTGGACTGTGGCTAATTTACTGATTTGTTTTTCATGCGGCTCAGCAGCTGACTGCCATTCATAGAGTCAAACTAAGATGCTGATTTTGGTTGGATTATATCTTTGATGTGCTTCTGCACAAAAATAAATGCAGTTTGATTTGAATTTAATTTCCCAGTATTTTGTCTTGGGAAATCTGGTTCAGAATTCCACGGACCTTCCAAAAGTAAAGACTAATGAATTTGAAGTGTGATGATGGTATATTTTGATATGGGTTAGTAATCCAGAGACCTGGGTTAATAACCAGGGAATGCTGGTATAAATCTGGTTAAATGGTAGTCGGTGCATTTCAATTAATTGAACAAGTGAAAGCTAGCCTCAGTAATTGTGACCATGAAACCATCCATTTGATTAGGTGCTTTAGAGAATAGATCT